TTTTTTTTTTTTTTTTTTTTTTTTTTTTTTTTTTTTTTTTTTTTTTTTTTTTTTTTTTTTTTGCCATGATCGCTACCTGTTTCTGTTTATGCTCGGAATCTCTAGTTGGCTCTGTTAGTGTCTATTTGCGCTTCTAATTTCACTATGTATGAGATTTAGGATAAAGGAAAGCTGAACAAGTGAAAGTGATCAAAATGATGATTTATTTATTTTTACTAAACTGATTATTATAACAAATCTCTCACAATCAATTTGAGCACCTTGGAATGAGCTCATCAAAATTGTAGATGATTCGGAATCAAAATTAAAACACCTCTCCTCGATGTAATTGACTAACAAAAATCTCTGTTCCAAGCACAGAACAAAGCACATAGCTGTTGTTGTTGTTGCTTGAAATTTAGACACCCTTGCCATAAGGCTCCATGCTTACATGATGGCCAATCACTGCATCATCCGGGATGAACTTCCCCCAGAACCAGTGTGCCTTCCACACTGTGTTCATTTCCTCAATTGGGACGTTCTTGGTCTCAGGCAAGAACCAGAAAATGAAAATTGTCATAATAGCCACAAACCCTGCAAAGAAGAAGAATAGACCAAACTTCAAGTGGCAAAGCATGGAGAGGAACAGTTGACCAATCACGAACGTCCAGAACATGTTAACCGACACGTTTATTGCCTGTCCTGCTGATCGGATCTCGAGTGGGCAGATTTCACTAGGTACCAACCATCCCAATGGACCCCAAGACCATGCAAATCCTGCCACATATACGCAGATTAGAGCCAGTAGGATATCTGCTTCTATCCCTCCTGACATTGATCCTTCACCATTCACTCCGAAGCTTTTCCATATCATGCCTCCCACAGCAAGCTAGCAATATTCAAAGTTGGTGTTAGAGATGGATAGTTAATAGGATTTAAAGGAGCATGATATAAGATACAATCTAAGCTTTTCAGATAGTTTGTTATACCTATCAGCTCTTGGATTAGTGTTAGTTTAATATATAGTTCATTACCTGGGACACAAACATCTGGATGCCTCCTTCGAGGAACAAGGCCTTTCGACCAAACCTGTCGACTGTTACAATCGATACGATTGTTGCAATGACATTGACAACACCAGATATAACAGCGGACATAAGTGAAGCACTGTCACCAAAACCAAGAGTTTTGTAGAGAACAGGTGCGTAAAATGTGATCACATTGATTCCTGTGAGCTGTTGGAAGAATGGGATGACCACGCAAATGACAAGTTGAGGTCTATATCTTGGTTGTAAGATGTTCTTCCACGGGTGTTGCACTTTCTTTGCAGCCTCACATGCATCAACAAGATCTTGAAATTCCTCATCCACATTATCCAAACCTCGAATCTTTTGCAACATTGCCTTTGCCTTCTCCATGTTGCCACGCTCAAGGATTGAGTTAGGAGTGTCGGGTAGAAAGAATGCTCCAACGGTCATCATGATTGCAGGAACAGCTGCAAGAGCTAAAGAAAGCCTCCATCCCCATCCACTTTTAATTTGAGCCGTTCCATAGTTGACAAGATTTGCAACCAAAATGCCTAGGGTAATGGCCATTTGGAAACCAATGTTCAGGGCTCCTCGAATCTTGGCTGGTGCCATTTCCGATAGATAAACTGGAACAGACTACCAAAAAAATATACTTCAGGATACTGATATTAGTATAGAAGATTACAAGCTCTGTGTGATTATAGGATAATCTTTACCTGATTGGCAAAGCCAATACCAAAACCGAGTAACAGTCGACCGATGATTAGCATTGCAATGTTCATAGCAGCCCCGTTTAAGATTGAACCCAACAAGAACACTAAGCCACCAACGAGCATAGACATTTTCCTTCCAAACATTCTGGTAATCATTGAAGCAAAGAAGGAAGCAACTAATGCTGCCAAGTATAATGAAGATGTGAATAGTGTCAGTAGCTGGCTGTCAAACTTGCAGTATTGGTTTCCTCCTTGTGCCTTGGCTTCTTGTTCATAAACTGCCGGGAAAAACTTCTGGAGGAAAGGTGCCATTGAAGTCACCCCACCTGAAAACAAATAAACAAAGAAAACACACATAAATTCATTGGAAACAAGAACACATAACACATGAGAAGGAAGAATTGCGGACCTGAGATTCCGAGATCATATCCAAAGATGAGACCGCCCATAGCGGCAACCAAACAAGTGATAATAACAAAATTATTGACTTCTCCGGCATGTTGTTTACTACCGCCTTGAGAAACAAATCCACCTCCAGCCATCTTGGACACTTCTCTCAAATGTTAAATAAATGCTGAAACCAAGATGTAATATGTTTTTGTTTTTTTCAAAGAAAAATTAAAAACAGAAATGAAATAGAAGAACAGAACTAAAAGGGAGAAGACCCTTTGTTTTGCGATGTTTAGATTACACATTCTGTAGTTTTATATAGGGATGTGAAGTGGATGATGATTGGTGGGTTTGTAGAATTTGTGGATCTGATAACAACTTTTGCTGTAATCAAGGCTTCCACTGATTTGATTGTATGGTTGTTATCTGCTGATTTTGCTCAACTGAGCTTCTTGGATCTTAAAAATAACTATGATATGCAGATTTTCGCCTCTAAAATTGGCAACCTTGACCCACCATACTTCTCTCTTTCCTCTCAAGTTTTTCTTTTTTGGCCATGATTTTAAATGCTTTATCATTTCATAGAACTGCAAATTTGGTAGATATAATTAAAGACTAATTGTTATAGTTTAAGCCTTAATATTCAGGATATTTTCTTGGTTGTCACCTTTATTTCCTTCAATTTTTACTTTTAGTACAGAATTTATCAACAAAATTATGAGGTGACATTAAAATATATATTTAGTAACTTAGTTTAAAAACCATTTTTTTGCCACTTCAAATAAATTCACTCCAAAATAAATGTAATATAAATAAAATAAATACTACTCTCTTCTTATAATAAAAAAAAAAAAACTAAATTAATAAGAATATTCCTAAATTTTATATTTTGTTTAACCTTTAATAATATCTTTAAATTTTTAAAAAATATTTAAAAAATGTCATCACCATGATGATTTGGATGGAAGTGTGCTAGTTTATTTAAAAAAATACTCTGGAACTTTTAATATTATTTAAAAATTGCCCTTATATTTTAAAAAAGTTCAAACGTATTCTTACCGTTAGTACTATGTTTTATGTTTAAAAAAAATACTCATTCAATTTTGAAAGTAGCATAGAATCCTTTAACTTTATAAGAAAAAAGTGAAAAAAAATTATTTATTATCATCAATATATTAATAAAAACTGACTATCTCTAAATTTTTTAATATTTTTCTAAGACTTCAAGGTATCAATTTTAGGTTTAGTATTTATAGGTATTTTGAAATATGGTACTAACATTCTTTGGTTGAATTTTTTAAAAAAAGTTTTAAAGCTATTTTTTAAGTTTTTAAAAAAGTTTTGAAAGTGTTCTTCTAGTTTAAATTTTTTTTTAAGGACTTTAATAAAAATTTTGAAAATTTTAGGATATTTTTTAAATATCTTTTAAAGTTAAATGGGGTGTTTTGAAACGTTTTAAAAAATTGAGGGTTGTTTTCGAAACCCTTTGGAAAGTTGGAGAGTATTTTTAAAACAAATAGTAATGATTACTGGTCAAACTAAGTATTTTTGAAAATTTTGAGACAATATAAAGTTTAAGAGTATTTTTATTAATTTAGCCTTAAAAGAATAGAATATGGATTAAATATATTTATATATAAAAGGAAAACAGAAAAAACTAATGGAAGATATTTATATGCCCTCTTACTGCATAGCAAGCAAGGAAAAAAAAAATTAATAATCTATTTAATAATAAATCTCAGTCATATATTACATTTTATTAAATATTAAAAAAATTTAATCATTTTTCAAATTAAAAAAAAAAAAAAAACACCATACAAATTAAAATAAATAAATGTATGTGACAGGATTCTTGTCCTCCCTTGCAATCTAGACAAAATTATTACTTTTGTTGCCGCAAAGCTTTTGATTTATGAGAATTTTGAGACAGAGAAGACAATTAGCAAGCATAAGAACTTTTCTTTTCTCCTTTGTCTATGCCTTTATTTATTTTTTTTTGGAATTTTTTGTTTTCGAGAGAGAAATTAAAGAATGGTACATATATAACTCGTCAATGCCAGTAAAAGTTAAAATTTAGAGATCTATTAGAACGAATTATGTGATACAATGCTATATAATATATATATATATATATACTTCCTATAAGAAAGTGCATACTTGTTTGTAATCTCTCTTTTCCAAGTCTTTAACTATGTCTTCTTGCCCTCACAGAGCCTGCAGACTAAGAATGGCACCGTACAGCAACGATAGCTCATCTGTTCATCAAGGAGAATCAAGCAGCCACAGCCATTCCGTTTCGGTCCCGCCCCTGATTGTATCCTACAATGATCGCATTCGCCCTCTCCTCGATGCCGTGGATAAGCTTCGTCATCTCATGATCATGAGAGAAGGCATCCAACTGCCAACCATAGTTGTTGTTGGTGATCAATCATCAGGAAAGTCGAGTGTCCTCGAGTCATTGGCCGGGATCAGCCTACCTCGAGGTCAGGGCATCTGCACCAGGGTCCCTCTAATAATGAGGCTCCAAAATCACCCCAATCCGGAACCTGATCTCTTCTTGGAGTACAGCGGAAAAACAGTCCACACAGATGAATCCTTCATTGCTGAAGACATCAGTACAGCCACAGAGGAGATTGCTGGCAGTGGCAAAGGGATATCAAAAACGCCACTGACTTTGATTGTGAAGAAAAATGGTGTTCCTGATCTTACAATGGTTGATCTCCCTGGGATTACAAGAGTACCTGTTAAAGATCAGCCTGAAGATATTTATGACCAAATCAAAGATATAATCATGGAGCATATTAAGCCAGAAGAGAGCATCATCTTGAACGTCTTGTCTGCAACCGTTGATTTTCCAACTTGTGAATCGATACGAATGTCTCAGAGTGTCGACAAGACCGGGATGAGAACGTTGGCAGTCGTGACTAAGTCGGACAAGGCACCAGAAGGCCTACATGAGAAGGTCACTGCAGACGATGTCAACATCGGGCTTGGTTATGTTTGTGTCAGGAACCGAATCGGTGATGAGTCGTACGAGGAAGCTCGAGTCGCAGAAGCTAAACTGTTTGCAACTCATCCTCTTCTCTCCAAGATTGACAAATCTGTTGTAGGCATCCCAGTGTTGGCTCAGAAGTTGGTGCAAATTCAAGCAGGTAGTATAGCAAGATGCATGCCAGAAGTTGTCAAGCAAATCAACGAAAAGTTAACTACAAATATTGCGGAGCTCAATAAGATGCCAAAGAAACTATCAACAGTTGCTGAGGCAATGACAACGTTCATGCAGATCATAGGACAATCCAAAGAGTCCCTCCGAAAAGTTCTGCTCAGGGGCGAATATGATGAGTTTCCCGACGACGCAAAGATGCATTCAACAGCCAGAATGGTCGAAATGATCAATCAATTCTCCGGCGAGCTTCACAAGTGTATCGGAACGGACAACACAGCCAACTTCCTAATGGAAGAGATCAAAGTGTTGGAGGAATCCAGAGGCATTGGACTTCCAAACTTCCTCCCCCGCACAGCCTTTCTCTCAATCCTTCAAAGGAAAGTGAACTTAATATCAAATTTACCAGTTGAGTTTGTCATGAAAGCTTGGGATTACATTCAGGTCATTGTTCTTGCTGTGTTGATGCGCCATTCTGAACATTATCCACAGCTCCAACAGCCCATCAGACGAGCAGGAAAAAACGTTGTCGAGGCGATGAAAGACCGAACTGTGAGTTGGATAACAGAGATTGTAGAAATGGAGAAGCTCACAGACTACACATGTGATGCTGAATACACAACCGAATGGAACAAGCTCATGGGCAATCAAGGGACATTCTTGAACCAGGTGCTGAGAAGCGATTCACATCCAGCTTCTGTGGTCCTTAACGGATTCGGAAACGTCGAAGTGGGGAACCTGTGGCAGCATCCAGATTGTCTTGAGCAGGCTTTCGATCTGAAGATGAGGATGACGGCATACTGGAAGATTGTTTTGAGGAGAATGGTGGACAGCACGGCGCTGTACTTGCAGTACAGTGTGCAGAATCTAGTGAACAAGGAGATTGAGAAGGAGACAATTGGGGAGCTGATGAGGCCGGGCGGAGGAGGGATTGAGAGGCTGTTGGAGGAGTCGCCATCGCTGTCTGTAAAAAGGGAGAAGCTGAAGAAGAGCATCAAGGTTCTTAAGGAGTCCAAAGAGGTTGTAGGGAACATTGTTGATTCTGTTTCTGTGTCCTCCCAAGTGGTCGGTGAGTGAACTCATTTTTCATGGTGCTCTCCATTTTTAATAATGCTTTGGAGTTTGTGTGTCTTTTTATAGTTAAAAAAACAGATTTCATTAATAGAATGAAATCTGTCAAAAGAGAGACGCATCCAGTGGTATGGCAAAACAAGTCTCCAGCTATGTAGTAGAGAATTTAATCTATTGTAATGTCCGTTGTTCCTTCTGCTGCTTTAAATGAAATTAATTATGATATATATTATCGAATTAAAAGAATAAAAACAATATACGTTAACTAAAATACCTAAAATACCCTCACACCCTTTCCTAACTTCTCACTAACGTCTCACGTCCCTTCCCTAAAATACCTCAACCGAACCCTTCTCAAACATAGAAGTTATGCCTGCAAATAGAAACCAGCTTCCAAATTTAAGCATAGACATGTATTTAGTTTTACGAGAGTGAGATTTTAGGTTAAATCATATTTTACATTCTTATTAATTTAGCTCGGATTCGTTAGTTTTGAGTTAGAAATTAAATGATAAGAATTTTATATGAGTTTTAGGAAATCATACCAGGATTGTTGTCATTTTTGTAGAGAGAAAGAAAAGGAAAATTTTTTGAAAAGTGTTTAAACTATTTTAAGTTGTTTGTACCCAAATGGTAACTAATTGAATCTAAGAACTGAACAAATTTTGATATGGAAACCCTAGCTAATTGAATCTAAGAACTCTCGTAAACGTTTTGGATGTGCAAATTCTTAATTCTTAAATGTTAAAACCCTCAAATCTGATATAGCAACCTTATTGAATAATAAGATCTCTAGATCTAAATATATCCAAGCACCCCAAAACAATAAGCCATTACTTCAAGGAAAAGTAAGATTCGGAGGATCAAATATTTCAGGGCAATAATAAAGCGTTTCTAAACATGCCACCTAAATTATATAGAATTGCCCCAAAAAAAAAAAAAAACTTAGCCATTGTCAAAAGAAAGCACAAATGCTCTCTTAACTACATTTTTTTCAAATCTACTTTACAGAGACAACATACATACCTTTATACAGCCTTAAAATGAAACTTTTGAGTTAGTAATTTTCGTACTTTATTACCATAATTAGCCACCATTAAAAGTAATCGAAAAGTAAATAAAAAGTTAAAACTCAAAATATATTAATAAAACACCATACATCTAGATTTCAATCATTTTTCATAAATTTTGTAACAATCTAAGTATCTTGAAATCTTTGTTGCATAATGAACTTTGATCTTCTTAACGTGTCATTAATTGCAACCTGAGATCAACTTTAATGAAATTTGACTTCATTTAATGTAACTTGACTATCTTAGGGTAATTTGAACAATATCTTTTACATCTTTCTTGAAGTTAATATGGTAGGATTGAGCTGCTTAGTTTATATGAACATGGGTATACTAAGTAGCATGTAGGTACGTAGATCGCTCCCTAAAACATTGACTGTATGGCAATTTCTGTGGAAGGGCCACTAGTTAAACCTTCTAGATGAGTTTAGACTAAGACACCACACTGCCCTATAAAATA